AACACCAATACGCAAGCAGGTCTGACGATACAAGGAATGCCTGTGTACAACACCGCAATTCACACAACCATTTAATTAACTACAGAAACTCAAGACTTATCGCCAGAGAAGACAACACCCAATACCGAAGAATCCTAGAATCATCGCTTATCTCTATAACCAGCAATTTCAACCAGAACAATGGCTTCTACAACATAGCTGAACCACTTGCCAAGAAACTTCTTCATCGCTATCCCACATAAGAACATAGAAATGGAAGAACACTGCAGAAGGTCTGCTTACAAACTTATCCAATCTCCCTTTCAAGCTACCCAAGATTCTAGACTCTATAACCCCACCCGGTAGATCATCAGATGCAGCATTCTCCACCTTACCTCAACATTCTGAACCTGACTATAAATACTCGCATACCTTCCACCCCAGGTAGATCTGTTTGTGACTTGAAAAAGCCCACTGTGTGGGCGAAACATTGTCAATAAAGGATCACATTAAACTGCATATGTTTACATTTCCATTGTGTCGGTATTTTATACCATTCATTTCCACTTCTTCTCCAGGCTAAGGAACTGACAATCTCAAATCTACGACTTCAAGAGTGATGGACTGATTACATCGTCTTCACATCTCTACTGCTCCTGTCTACTTTCTGTAATCGACTGAAGAAGCCTACTGTGTAGGCGACACGTTTCGAAATAAAGTTGCCCAACTGTTGCCCACGTGTCTTACCTACCAAGTAAGACATCGGCATACACATCTGCATCCGCGGATATCTAAATTGTCACTGTGGAAAATATGTAGCATATTTTCCGAAAATAGTGTATTGGTATGTAAATTAATAAAATATATTGTATTTAATAAAAATTATGCTATAAAAAATGGGAAGCCTGCGCCTGCGCAGACAAGACTCGCCATTCTGTTTCGAATGAGCCAAGAAAACGTTAGTGAAAAGAAGAAGAATTTTCGTGCTCTAGAGGTTAAAATTGGGCTGACACCTCTCAAATAGGAGCCGAAATTGTTGGATGTGCATTCCTGCATAACTTGAGATATCAGGCGACTGGACAAGACAGCTCCAGGAACCTCAGATAAGTCTGTTTGTGTTTATAACTCTGGCCAGTGTTATTTTCATGTATAGACAGTGAGGTTTTCTGAGTATGATACACCTTGATCTCCAGTCAAATTGGCGAGTGATTTTAAGATATTTCACAATGGCGAGTCTTGTCTGCGCAGGCGCAGGATTCCCATTTTTTATAGCATAATTTTTATTAATACAATATAATTTATTAATTTACATACCAATACACTATTTTCGGAAAATATACTATATATTTTCCACATTCACATCTGATACATCTCTAGTGTACGCTCGTGTGTGTGTGTGTACGCACGCTCGGTGTGTGTGTGTGTGTGTGTGTGTGTGTACGCACGCTCGTGTGTGTGTGTACGCGCGCTCGTGTGTGTGTGTGTACGCGCGCCCGTGTGTGTGTGTGTACGCGCGCTCGTGTGTGTGTGCGTACGCGCGCTCGTGTGAGTGTGTACGCGCGCTGGTGTGTGTGTACGCGCGCTGGTGTGTGTGTGTACGTGCGCTGGTGTGTGTGTGTGTACGCGCGCTCGTGTGTGTGTGTACGCACGCTGGTGTGTGTGTGTGTACGCGCGCTGGTGTGTGTGTGTGTACGTGTGCTGGTGTGTGTGTGTGTACGCGCGCTCGTGTGTGTGTGTACGCGCGCTGGTGTGTGTGTGCACGTGCGCTGGTGTGTGTGTTTGTGTGTACGCGCGCTCTTGTGTGTGTGTACGCGCGCTGGTGTGTGTGTGTACGCGCGCTCGTGTGTGGTGTGTACGCGCGCTGGTGTGTGTGTGTACGTGCGCTGGTGTGTGTGTGTACGCGCGCTCTTTGTTGTGTGTGTACGCGCGCTGGTGTGTGTGTGTACGCGCGCTGGTGTTTTGTATGTACGCGCGCTCTTGTGTGTGTGTGTACGCGCGCTGGTGTGTGTGTGTGTGTGTACGCACGCTGGTGTGTGTGTGTACGTGCGCTGGTGTGTGTGTGTACGCGCGCTGGTGTGTGTGTGTGTGTGTACGCGCGCTGGTGTGTGTGTGTGTGTGTGTGTGTGTGTGTGTACGCGCGCTTGTGTGTGTGTGTACGCGCTCGAGTGTGTATGTGTACACGCTCGAGTGTGTGTGTACACGCTCGAGTGTGTGTACACGCTCGTGTGCGTGTGTGTACACGCTCGAGTGTGTGTATACACGCTCGAGTGTGTGTATGTACACGCTCGAGTGTGTGTGTACACGCTCGTGTGTGTGTGTGTACAAGCTCGTGTGTGTGTGTGTACACGCTCGTGTGTGTGTGTACGCGCTCGAGTGTGTGTGTGTACACGCTCGAGTGTGTGTGTGTGTACACGCTCGAATGTGAGTGTGTACACGCTCCTGTGTGTGTGTGTAAACGCTCGAGTGTGTGTGTGTGTACACGCTCGAGTGTGTGTGCACACGCTCGTGTGTGTGTGTGTACACGCTCGTGTGTGTACACGCTCGAGTGTGTGTGTGTGTGTACACGCTCGAGTGTGCGTGTACACGCTCGTGTGTGTGTGTGTGTACACGCTCGAGTGCGTGTGTGTACACGCTCGAGTGCGTGTGTGTACACGCTCGAGTGCGTGTGTGTACACGCTTGAGTGTGTGTTGTACACACTCGTGTGTGTGTGTACACGCATTGATGTGTGTGTGTTACACGCTCGAGTGTGTGTGTACACGCTCGGTGTGTGTGCCACACGCTCGAGTGTGTGTGTGTACACGCTTGAGTGTGTGTGTACACGCTCGTGTGTGTGTGTGCGCACGCTCGAGTGTGTGTGTGTACACGCTCGTGTGTGTGTGTACACGCTCGAGTGTGTGTGTGTACACGCTCGTGTGTGTGTGTACACGCTTGAGTGTGTGTGTGTGTGTACACGCTCGAGTGTGTGTGTGTACACGCTCGAGTGTGTGTGTGTGTGACCCAATTAATATTTGCACTAATAACTCAGTACAGATGTGACCGGGTGTGTACGTGTCAGTGGTTCATTACTTCGTAATTTGTTCATGATTGTAACCATGTATAGACGTGTAGATGATTCATTACCTTTGTAACTTGTCATGACTGTGACCAGATCTACCTGGAATTCATTACCTTTGTAACTTGTTCATCTATCAAAATTTTGGGGTCCGGTCCCTGAACCCATTATGTACCTGTGTAATCCTTTGAGTAACACCCATTGGATGGGTATGATGGGGTGCATAATAAACATATTAAACTAAACTAACGTGAACGATGTCATTATTATTATTATTATTATTATTATTATTATTATTATTATTATTATTATTATGATTTTTATTTCTACAATTCCTCATATAAAAATTTACAGACCTAGCTGGCATCACTGACATATTGTATAGAAAGTCCCTGGTTATGTAGAGCATTTCCGGCAACTTAGGTTAATCTTATCCCTCCCAGGATGCGACCCACTACAGTCGGTTAACACCCAGGTACCTACTTACTGCAAAGTGAAGAGGGACAGCAGGTGTAAGCAAACTGACCAACGTTTCACCCGTGCTGGGGATCGTTTTTGGACCTTCAATGTGTGAGCTGAGGACGCTACCAACCAAGCGATAAACCTATAGGTCATACATCGCTTAGGGGACGGGAGGCAGTCAGGTTCGATCCAGCGAAGGGGCAATAAGTTCAGTTCCATAGATCAAGAGCCCTCACCGCAGCCAAGGAACCTCTACTCGGGGTGCAGCAGCAGGAGTATTGTGAGAGTGAAGACTCACCTAGCAGCGGGCAGCAGCAGCAGCAGTAAAGCTGCTGAAATGATCCATACATCCACCTCTTGCCCCACCACAATCATGTTTTGAAAGCCCAACCTCAATAAAATGAGAATAATGCTAAGGATGATAATAATAATAATAAAATAATAATAATAAAAATTTAATAATAATAATAAAAAATAATAATAATAATAATAATAACAACAACAACAACAACAACAATAGGTATTTATTTTTTCTTGAACGATCGCCTCCTACCAAGGCAGGGTGACCTAAGAAGAAAACACAATCACCAACACTCACTTCAAGGGCGGACATCAACCAAATCTTTCAATTGGCTGCAGAAAACATGAAGTTCAACGATGAGAAATTTCAATTACTCCGATATGGAAAAACATGAGGAAATTAAAACTTCATCAGAGTACAAAACAAATTCCAGCCATAAAAATAGAGGAAAAACCAACGTCAAAGATCTGGGAGTGAATCATGTCGGAGGATCTCACCTTCAAGGACCATAACATTTGTATCAATCGCATCTGCTAGAAAAACGACAGGATGGTAACTGAGAACTCTTCAAAACAAAGGATGCCAAGCCCATAAATGACACTTTTCAGGTCGCTTGTTCTATCTAGGCTGGAATATTTGCTGCACACTAACAGCACCTTTCAAGGCAGGTGAAATTCCCTGACCTAGAAAATTTTACAGAGAACCTTCACGGCCCTTGAAACGCAGGCGGGAGAGATACATGTTTAAATACCACATTGAAAATCCTAGAGGGACTAGTACCGAACTTACAAACGAAAATCCCCTCACTACGAAAGCAAAAGACTCGGTAGACGATGCAACATCCCCCCAATGAAAAGCAGGGGTGTCACTAGCACGTTAAGAGACAACACAATAAGTGTCAGGGGCCCGAGACTGTTCAACTGCCTACCAGCATACATAAGGGGGATTAACAATAGACCCCTGGCTGTCTTCAAGCAGGCACTGGACAAGCACCTAAAGTCGGTACCTGACCAGCCGGGCTGTGGCTCGTACGTTGGATTGCGTGCAGCCAGCAGTAACAGCCTGCATGATCAGGCTCTGATCCACCATGAGGTCTGATCGCAGACCGGGCCGCGGGGGCGTTGACCCCCGGAACTTTCTCCAGGTAAACTCCAGGTAAGAGCAGTCATTCAGGAGTGTGTTGACATCACAGTCAGATTACCTACGACTGCTACATCGCCATCCGTCCTTCAGAGTGCAGGCATTGTTCTGTCTCCAGGACTCCAAGTCCAGCTGACCGGTTTCCTTTTTAATTCCTTCATGAAGGTTATGTTTTTCACACTCCAATAGCACGTCCATTGAAAACCAGTTTGCCTCCGACTCCTATCTAAAACGCTCACATAAGCCTGCTGAATGCTAAAGCCCCTAATTATAACTCAAAACTTCTTTTACTCCCTCCACCCTCCAATAATGAGAATAAAACATAAATAGTAATAATAACCAGATACAGTACTTAGTGACCTGTCATGATCTATATGACATTCTGGCAAAATTAGAGCATTGAATGACCCACAATAATTGGGAGCTTATGTAGAAAAATCATACTCCGTATTCAGGGTGAGTGATGAAAAGGTGAGACTGATTTTATGTCATCAGACACTACCTACAGTATAATGATTATTTTTTATGGTATCCCTCTATATGGGACGCTCTCTCTATAGGCGAAGGCGAAGAATCACAGAGCTGCTCAAAGGAGCCAGTCTTTCTGCAACACGAAAGGAAGCACTGGCTAGAGAAACAGAAAATATCGAACTTAAACTTAAGGAATTATACAGGAGCCAAGAAACACAGGAAGAACTTAAAGCAATAAATGAAACTGAAAAAAATCTTTTGCCAAATCTAGGGCAAAAACCACATCCAGGATTGGGCCCCTGCTTAAACGTAATGAGATTTACAGAGATGACAGCAAAGAAATGAGTAAGATACTTAAGACCCAGTAAGACTCAGCGTTTAGCGAGCCGTTACTCAGACTAAGGGTCGACAATCTAAATATTTTCTTTATAACTGAGACTCAAAAGTCTCAGTCATATAACAGAAATTCAAGAATTTCTGTTATAATCCTAACACCATAGGATTTTGAAATAGCAATAAATAACATGCCCATGCAATCTGCCCCAGGCCCAGACTCACAGAGCTCCGTGTTCATCAAGAAATGCAAGAAACCCCTTTCACGTGCCTTAAATATTCTATGGAGAGGGAGAATAGACACAGGGATCATCCCACAGTCACTACAAACAACAAACATAGCTGGTAAGGTTGTCACTGTAGTGATACTGGTCCTGTGGGGAGCAGCAGCAGGATAATACTGCACCACCTCTAGGGGCCCTTAACAACAACAACAGTTTGGTGGGTGTCATGGGCACCAACACATGGTGTGTGATTCTCTCCTACTTTATCCATTTATCAGCGATGCAGATTACATGGTGAGTTTAAATATGTGGCCTGTAGTTATAACTTTTCTCTTGACATATGCAAGACATCACCATCCCTGTAGAAGCCATTATTAGATGTACTAGTCATTATATTTTGTTGTTGCAGAAGTACTATGAAGATTCTATGTTCAATAAAGCCTAGAGATAAGGCCTGTGTTTCTATCACAACAGTCACACTAGCAGATACTGAGCGACAAGTTAGTTAGTTTAATATGTTTATTATGCACCCCATACCCATCCTGTGGGCGGTAGTCAAAAGATTACAGAGGTACATAATTGGTCCAGGGACTGGACTCCAAAGTTTTGATAGCTGAGCAAGCTACAGAGGTAATGAATTCACAATTTACAAAGGTAATGAACTCACAATTTACAAAGGTAATGAACTCCAGGTAGGTCTAGTCACAATCATGACAAGTTTACAAAGGTATTTACAGATTGCAGAGTTACGCCCCCATAATGGTCCAGGGACTGGGCCCAAAGTTTTGAGGGCTGAACTAGGTACAAGGTAATGACTTTTCACAAGTTACAAAGGTAATGAAATAAAACTGTAAGAATGGTTACTTCGTTTATACACGGCTACAATCATGAAACAAATTATTGAGTAATGAGCAGTTCACACTTCCAACCCGGTCACAACTGTAGTGAGTTATTGGTGAAATTATTGATTGTTGAGACACACCACACACACACACACACACACACACACCACATATACAAATTCTACACCACACACACACTCCACACACACACCACACACACACAACACATACAAATTCATACACACTGTACACACACACACACACACACACTCACACACAACACACACACACACACACACACACACACACACACATATAAAACAACACACACACACATACACAAACTCATACACACACACGCACACACATCATACACACACACACACACAACACACACACACACACACCACAATTACACACACACACACACACACACACTTACACTCACACACACACTCAATATACACTCATACACATACACCGCACACACAAAACACACACACACACACACAAACACACAACACACACACACACACACAGGAGCTTGGATCGACCCTGCAATCTCAAAACTAGGTGAGTGCACACACACACACACCACACACACACACACAGGAGCTTGGACTCGACCCCTGCAATCGCAAACTAGGTGGTGCTCACACACACACACACACACACAATCACACACACACACACACACACACACACATGCACACATGTGGTAATGCTTTATTTACAGCTAGCAAAGTCAGCGGAATTTCTCCAGAATTGGTTCTGCAATATACCACTGTGGATAAAGTACTTTGCCATTCTCCTGAACATTTCTGAGTGAGTTATTTCTATATTCTAATTTTATACACTCCAGTTACATTAATGACGCAGGGTGTGACATTAGTCATTTCTGGCAAAGTTTTACATTTCGTTTGGGGTTACATCTGGTGGTGGTGATTTAACCTGCCATAGTACTGGTAACCCAGCCGGAGCCGGGCAGTAAGTAGTGACATCCAAGTGTCTGCTTATTTTTTTTGGATGCACCGTTAGACTTTGTGGCTCCTCCTGCATGTTAGAATGATGATAGATGGACTCACTGGTTGCGTCAATCTCCCTGAGCTTAAGTCCATAAATTCAGTTGAAGTATCTTTTCGTATTATGGTCTCAAAATACTACCTGACAAGGCCAAGATTTGTAATCTACTCCCTCTTTGAAAGCATACAGCTTTAGCAATTTATCTGTTTCTATCATGCATCTGAATGACCAATGTGAGATGGAATCCACAGCATGTGCACTCTGACTCCACTGTCCACAATACTACCATACTGTGTTGGCTTCTGACACAAGCATGCCACAATTTATGCTTAATGAGTTGAGAGCATTTATGGATGACAGAGAATCAGCTACAATTAAACTGTCAATCTTTGATACATAGATGCATTTCAGTGCAAGGAGTATGGCAAACAGTTCTGTCTGAAGGGTAGAGGACCCAATTATTGATGCGTGCTCCAAATTTCTTTAAGAGAGCCATCACTCTGTACGACAACAGCAGCACTACCAGCTGCACCAGTGGTTGGTGAACAGACCATCAGCGTAAATAATTTGCGAGAGTGTGTGCTGTGTGACTAAGTTATCAATACAGCTTAAGGCCTCATGTTTGGCTTCAAGGCGAAGTTTTTTGTGTGATTTAAGAAGTTAGTTTGGGGGGAAATGGAGGAATGGTAGTTTGAATGGGGTAATATTCCATGGAGCGGAGAAGTGCCACTGTTGCCTTACTTGACATGATCATGTATCTGATTCATGCGGAGGTCGGTTCCAGTTTTTTCGATCCATCTGGAGGAGTGTTCATCGGTGCTGAGGAAAGTTTGGAGGGCTTCTGTGCAGGGGTTTGAATGAGCTTGCCTGAGCATAATAACCCCAATTAGGATATTTCTTTCATGTAACAGATCTCTGATGCTTGGAATATCAAGTTCTTTTTGCATATTTAAAATTTTGGCAGTACGAGGGCATCCTAAAATGATCTCATTGCTTCGTTCTGCAGTTTTTCCAGCCTCCAAGCTTTCAGTCAGACACAAGAGCAAGTAGTGGCGCAGCATAATCAACCAATGATCTAATATAAGCAAGATACATCATTTTCACAATTTTAACATTGCACCATACCTGGGGTTTAGCCCTGCCACAACTCTAAGTGCTCTTAGTCGTTCTTTGTATTGGCGACAAAGTCTTGTTACAACAGGTCCAAGTAGTGGAACCTCAAAACCTAGATACCTGTATCTGCTTACAATATTCTAGATGAGACCCATCATGCAATTGGATCTGACGAACTGTGCCTCTCTGTCGAGGAGGACGCCTATTGAGTATCTTTGTTTTATCAGTAGAGATTATCAACCCCAGGTCCTGACACGAGGCTAGTACATGATTAAGAATGTTTTTGGTGTTGGAGAATCCGGTGGTGTGAATCATTATATCATCAGCAAACTAATCACATAATGATGGGGCTGACTAGGCATATCATTAAGTAATGCATTAATAAGAATATTGAACAGTGTGGGACTGAGCACACCTCCCTGTGGGTTCCTAATTCAAAGTCTTTAGTTACACTTCTATGTCCCTGGAACAACACAGACGATTTTCTGTTGGACAGGTAGACCTTTAATCCAGCGGGAGAAGCCATCCTCCAACATCCATTCTGGCAAGTTCACTAATGATTACATGTCGGTTGGCTACATCGAAAGCGGATTTAAGGTCAAGGAAGGTAGTGTATGAGCTGTCAGTGTGCAGGGTGAGAAAGGTGGCTATGCAATGATGCACGCTCCTTCCATGCATGAAACCATGTAACCGGGGAGACAAAAATTGTTTGATTTTGTACATGAGACGATTAGGAATCCTTCTCTCAAATGTTTTACACAAGCAGCTAGTAAGAGATATTGGGCGAAATGCATTTTGTTGATTGGGCTTAGGAATTGGAATGATGAGGCTGTTGGTCCAAGATTGAGGGAGCTCCTCAGTTACATAGCTCATGTTATATAATTCAAGTAATGGATTACCTGGTACTCGACACAGCAATCTGAGTATGTTGTAAGTAATAACATCCTCACCAGGAGACGTGGAGTTGCCCGTAGTTAGTGCTGCATCAAGTTCATAATTAGTGAAAGGAATGTTGCAATCATCTGCCTTGCTGAGCATAAAGCAAACAAGTCTCTCCCTTGCATCATATTTGTCATTTAATTTTGCCTGTGTGGTACTGGGAAGATTGTCATAGCTAGATGTAGCAGCCCAAGCACTGACTAACTCATTCGCCCTATGTAAGGGATGAGGGTGCGCGATCTGCCCAGTTCGT